TTTTTTTTCCCCATTCTTTTTCTCTTTGCATTTCATTTGGGAATTGCTGTATCTGAATATTTAAGCCTCCCCCCATTCATGTTTAGTCCTAATTCCCAAGCGTGATGGGATTAGGAAGTAGGGCCTTTGGGAAGAGAATGGATGGGATTAGAGTTCTAAAAGAGGCCCCAGAGGGATCCTTTGTCCCTTCCACCATGTGTGGACACAGTGAGAAGGCACTGGCTATGAACCAGGAAGAGAACCCTCAACAGGATGAGACCATGCTTGCATCTTGACCTTGGACTTCCCAGCCTCCAGGGCTATGAGCAGTAAATTTCTGTTGCTTATAAGCTACTCAGTCTATGGGTATTTCACTATAGCCCCCTGAACAGACGAAGACAGGAAGTTTTCATTGATATTTCTAAAAACTCACTGATTTTTTCCTTGGTCATGTCTAGTCTATTAAAAAGCCCACAAAAGGCTTTTTTTTTTTTCTTTCTGTTACACTGCTTCCTATTTCTAACTTTTCCTCTTGATACTTTCTTAGAATTTCTCTCTCTCTCTCTAGTTTACATTACCCATCTGTTCTTGCATGTTGTCCACTTTTTCCATTAGACCCTTAGCATATTAATCCTAGTTATTTAAAATTTCCAGTCTGGTAATTTCCAAAACCTCTTCCATATCTGAGTCTGGTCTGATGCTTGCTTTGTCTCTTCAAACTCTGTTTTGCCTTTAAGAAGCGTGCCTTGCAATTACCTGTTGAAAGCGAGGCTTGATGAACTGGGTAAAAGGAACTGAGGTCAATAGGTTTCTGATGTGAGCATTTAGGTTTATCTGCCTGGGACATAAGCTATGTGTATTGTTTTTCTGACTGTAGCTGCCAGGGGCTACAATTTCCCCTGGTGTCCATTGATTTTGTCTCTCCTTATTTGTCTTTGGGCTTTGCTAGAGCGTTAAGTAAGGTTTGAGACATGTCATTCTTTTGGTTATCATCTCTTGGTATGATACAGGAGCTCTGCTGATGTGATGGTAAGGTGTGGGGGAGGGAAGTGTTCTACAGTTCAATGATAAGGTCTCAGTCTTTTTTTTTTTTAAGATTTTATTTATTTATTGAGAGAGAGAGAGCACGAGAGGGAAGAGGGTCAGAGGGAGAAGCAGGCTCCCCGCTGAGCAGGGTGCCCGATGTGGGACTCGATCCCGGGACTCCAGGATCATGACCTGAGCCAAAGGCAGTCGTTTAACCAACTGAGCCACCCAGCCGCCCAGGTCTCAGTCTTTTAAAGAGCCCGTGTCTCTGGGCTGTTCGCTTCATACTCTTAGTGAATGAGTCTCTGTTTCACCCATCCCCTAGGATGAGAGAAGGGTAGAGAGAGTGGAGATGGGTATTTCACTTCTTGTGGAAGGCTCCTGGCGGGGCTGGAGTCTAGTATTTCCCTCCCACCAGGTTAGGTTCTGATAAAACCCAAGGTAGTTGGCCTCTGGTAAAATAGTTTCCCTTGACGGTAGGCTTTGGCTAAATAGCACAGAATGCTCTGGGCTTATTCTTTTTTTTTTTTAATTTTTTATTGTTATGTTAATCACCATACATTACATCATTAGTTTTTGATGTAGTGTTCCATGTTTCATTGTTTGTGCATAACACCCAGTGCTCCACGCAGAATGTGCCCTCTTTAATACCCATCCCCCCACCCTCAACTCTGGGCTTATTCTTAAATGGTTCCATTTCCCTTCCCTCCTATAGAAGCATGAAAGGATTTTTCTCTGATCTACACCCTGAGAACCTGATGGGGCCCTGAAGATAAAACTCATGGGATTTTATGGGGCCCACCTAAGACGAAACTCCCTTGAAATTTTGAACTGGTAAGCTTGTCTGCATTAAGCCTCCAGCAATTTGTCAATTACAGTTTGAGTTTTCCTATCTGTTACCGACTCCTGCTGCCTCCGGTCGGGTAAGCTGTTATCTGCCAGTCTCTTCAATTTACGGGGAAGAAGGATCCTCGTGACCTCAGTTCTCTGATGGAGCTAACAAGAGTGGCTGAGGGGCGCCTGGGTGGCTCAGTTGGTTAAGCGACTGCCTTCGGCTCAGGTCATGATCCTGGAGTCCCGGGATCGAGTCCTGCATCGGGCTCCCTGCTCGGCAGGGAGTCTGCTTCTCCCTCTGACCCTCCCCCCTCTCATGTGCTCTCTCTCTCTCTCACTCTCTCTCTCAAATAAAAAAAAAAAAAAGAGAGAGTGGCTGATACTCAGTTTGTTCGGGTATTCTCCTTTTGTTATTGTGATATCTGTGTCCACAGTTTCTGGTACAAGAGCTTCTAAACCCCATGGAATTTCCCAAGTGATAGGGGTGAGAGGAGCATCTTTTGTTATTCGTGATGAGTCCCTTTTAACCCTACCTGAGCTTATGCTAATAAATTTATTCTTGGTGGGCCCCTAGATAACTTCAGGATGGGGAATGGTCAACAGAAAGACCAACATATGACTAGAGGGTTAGGGCCTGCAGTCCCACCCCCCAACCTCCAGCAAGGGGAGTGGTTGGAGATGCATCCAATCACCAATGGCCAGTGATTTAATCAACCACACCTCTGTAATGGAACCATCATAAAAACCTCTAAGCAACAGGATTTGTAGAACTTCTGGATTGATGAACACATTGAGGTGCTGGGAAGGTGACATGCCCAGAAAGGGTATGGAAACCTCTGAGCACCATCACCTCTGTACTTTAATCCCCTATGCATCTCTTCCATTTAGCTGTTCCTGAGTTGTAGCCTTTATAATAAAACAGTAGCCATATGTAAAGCATTTTCCTGAGTCCTGTGAGCTGTTCTAGCAAATTATCAAATCCAAGAAGTGGGTCATGAAAACCCCCAATTGACGGCTGGTCAGTCAGAAAAAGTTTGGTTGGCCTGGACTTGCAGTTGGCTTCTGAAGTTGGGGTCAGTCTTGTGGGTCTGAGCCCCTAACTTATGGGGTCTGACATGGACTCTGGGTACTTAGTGTCAGAGTTAAATGGAATCATCAGACCTCTAGTTGGTGTTGGGAGATTTGGAGAACTGGTTGTACCACACACATTTGGTGTCACAGGTGACAGGGTAGAAATAAGTTCTAGAATTCTTTTTTTTTTTAAAGATTTTATTTATTTATTTGAGAGAGCGAGAATGAGAGAGAGAGAGAGAGCACGTGAGGGGGGGAAGGTCAGAGGGAGAAGCAGACTCCCCGCTGAGCAGGGAGCCCGATGCGGGACTCGATCCCAGGACTCCAGGATCATGACCTGAGCCGAAGGCAGTCGCTTAACCAACTGAGCCACCCAGGCACCCAAGTTCTAGAATTCTTGACTGAGAATTCTTGATGACCTCTAACCTCCTGACATGTCACACTGGAAACACAGTCTTCTATTTTGTTTTTAAATTCTTCCATAATATTTTTAGATTCCAAGAGTACTTAAAATTTTTTTTCTTATCATGTGGCAACGGATTCCTAAGATATGATGACAAAAGCAGAAGCAACAAAAGAAAAAATAGATGAATTGGGCTTCATCAAAATTAGAAACTTTCTGGGTGCCTGGGTGGCTCAGTCATATAAAACTGTCTGCCTTCGGTTCAGGTCATGATCCCAGGGTCCTGGGATGGAGCCCCACGGCTGGCTTCCCGCTCAGCGGGGAGTCTGCTTCTCCCTCTCCCTTTGCCCTTCCCCCTGCTTGTACTCTCTCTCAAATAAATAAAACCTTTACAAAAATAAAAAAAGAAATGGAAATTAACACCACATTGAGACACTTCATACCCACTCAGATGGTATAATAGTTAAAAAAAACCCAGCAAATCACAAGTGTACTAGATGTACAAAATGCCACTGAATTATATACTTTAACTGATTAATTTTATATTATGTGAATTTAAGCTCAAAAGTTTTCCTGCATGTTTTATTCTAGAGCATCCTGTTATAGATCATGGTTGCAATATTTGGGGTTATCCTCTTCTTTTCCCTATGAAGTCTGTTTCTCTTCCGTTGCTTTCTTGTGTAACTGGTTTTCACAGCTGTCTGGTAATCCTAGGTTCCCTGTTCCCATTTCAGAGAAAAAGATGAAAAGCCAACGGGGACACTGGTCACTTGGTGGGCTTTGTGGAGGGAATCCCCAGTATTAGTACTTATTTTTAGTATTTTCTATTTGGGTTGGTCAAACTCCCCATAAAGGCTTTAAAAATCTGCTGGGAGGGGGCAGCATTTGGGGAGCTGAGCGGCAGAAGAGAACACAGATTGGATTTTTTTTTTTTTTTAAGATTCTATTTATTTATTCATGAGAGACAGAGAGAGAGAGAGAGGGAGGCAGAGGGAGAAGCAGGCTCCCAAGGAGCAGGGAGCCCGATGTGGAACTCGATCCCAGGACCCTGGGACCATGACCTGAGCCGAAGGCAGGCGCTTAACCATCTGAGCCACCCAGGCGCCCACAGATTGGATTTTTAATATGCAAGTTGCCACAAAAATGTGTTCAAAGGCCCCAAACTAAAAGTTAGCATTTCAATAGATTTTACAGCCTCAAATATTATTAGCAGCATTTCAATTTTAAGGTGTTTATTTTATAGAAGCTTATATGGCAATACCTGAGATAGGACTTCAACAGGCACTTAATACACACCTACTGATAAGTGTCAATACGATAACAGAGAAATACAAACAAAGCTGGATCAGCAATCAGTTTTAAAGGGTAGTGAAGTTTCCTGCAAGAGGGAAGATACTCAACAGAAGAGTGCGGAACACTTCCAGCAGGGAAAATCAAATTTACAGATTTACAAGCCATGATAGAGTTAACGTGTGGGAGAAACTTAGAAGTCTACCTCCTTTCTTGATCTCCATGAGGGTAGTGCAGATTCTTGGGATAACTAAGAAAACATCACTGATATCTTTTCCACCCACAGCGGGGAGCGAGACCACTATCTATGTGACAAGGTCACCTCCCACACTTCACAGATCAGTAACAATGATCCTGTCTAGTTTGTGGGCTGGTGACAATCCTATTTTAGCCACGATCATTGAAAAACCCTGATTAAAATGCCTGCTAAAAGAACAGCAATGGCAACAGCTAGAGCTATTCCACGATAGAAAATCAACTGGCTCACTGTCAAAACATCCCCAATGGTGGACACAGCATACTGGTTGCTTTCTTCTAGTACCATTAGTTGGAGGGTCTGGCTCTCGGGTGTGATGGTATCAGGCAAAACCACTCCATCGGTTACTTCTTTCTCCAAGACAGGTTGATCTGATTGCAGAGAACAGTGGAGTATATACACTTATGTACAGGGTTCAACAGAAGGATATTATGGAAAGTTACATAAGAATACGTTGTAAACAATGACCAATTATTGACTGGTATATGTGAAATTACATTAAGAACATTTCACAGGAGAACCCAGAGTTGATCGCCCAATTATTAAGCAGAGGCAAGATTTATTATGCAAGAGAGCAGGATCTCATAAACTAAGTAACTCTGGCTACATTAAGTTTTGGCCTCATGAGGCAGATCCAGGGCCCTAGACCGTGTTGTCTGTTACCTGCTGGTGATGGTGTGGTCTCTTTGATCCCCTTCAGCCCAGCTCGGACCTGTGCCTGAGAATAAGTGTCACAGAAGTAAATGAAGTGTAAGTCAAGTTAGGCGAGTATTCTCTTGTTAAAATTTCACCTGAGCTACTGATGAAACCACTCCTAAAGCACTCTAACATCTAGCACAGTCCTCTCTGGCCAATGACCATAGAACGTAACGCTGGACAATCACTATTCTCCCCAGCGCTCAGCTCACAATAATAACGTAAAAAAACAAAAGACAAACAAACAAAAAAACTTGTGCCTATAGTTGCAGATTTAACATTATTTTTCTTACACTGTGCATTTCAGTGTTCCTAAGCACTGATATAAGGAATAAAGTCTAAAGACAAATGGTGTTATCATATAAAGAATGGTTTATGTATGGTCCAACTGAATGTCCTGTACAATTCACTCCCTCCATAGATCACACTAAGATAGGAAAGACATCATACAGCACAATTAGGAAAACCAAAGGTATGTGAGACCTGGAAGGGTTGGGGGGGACAAAACTGAAGCAGGGATGCTTTGTGCACTAAACTCATCCCCCCTCCCCATCAGTAACATGTCCCCTATGCCAACCTCCCATCCATCTCATCTCGACAAATAAACACAGCTCACAATTCACACAGAGAGATGCCCATACAGTCAGGATCCCATTCCTCCACTCGGAGGTTATGGTTCTGCCCCCAAGCACTCCTCACTGATCATAGATACTTAGCAGACTGCTTTTTAGGAAAACATGGACCAAAAATGTTTCTAAAAAGAGGCCTAAAAACAGATAAATCAGTATAATTGTTAAGCCCTTGTGAGTAGACACCGAACTAACTGTACGAAGAAGAAAGCGCGCTGAAACATGATGTCCTTCTGCCCCCTAACTCTCCTATTAGACGCTTTCCATGAATCGAAGCGAGGCATGCTGCCAGGGGCATTCTTAGCATTTTGACCCTCGAAGATTCCTTCCAGCTACGGGGCCAAGAAAGAGCCACACTTCTAGAAGGATGCGCTGTTACCTGCTCCGCAACTCTCTTCCAGTTTGTCCTCCAGATGAGCACCAAATAGAAAAGGGCTTGAAAGAAAACACAGATGATCAATCCAGACCAGAGACCTAGGGATACAGGAATGAGAACCTTGGCTTAGATGTTTTCAAGTTATTTTCCCGTCATTGTTAACATTCTTCCAAAATTACTGTGTCTGCAAGAGTTAAAATAACTGCCTTAGAAATTTACATTAGCACGGACCAGGATTAGACTCAAGCTTCCCACTGATCCATCAGTGGCAATCACTCTGCCAATAAGCAGTAAAAACACCACAGAACCATTCACTGCTTATATGTTGATTAAACAAATATGTCCTGGCTTTGTTTGTGGCAGGTCTTGTTTTAAGGGCTGGAAACACAGAACTGGACAGGCTGCCAAGATCAGGGCCCTCTTGGAGCTTACATGCTACTGGGGGAGACAAACAGCAAACGTGCTAGCTGGAAGGGTTAGGAGGGCCACGGAAGACACCGAGCAGAGCGCCGTCACAGTGACCTACAGCCCCGAGTCCGCGAGGAGGGCAGGTGGCTCTCCCCCGTGGGGGAGGGGGGGTAGCTGTGACAACTACAGGACAGGCCCTGCAGGCAGAGGGAGGGGCAGGCCCAGGCCCAGGAGAAACCAACTGCGGTGTGGAAAAGTTTACTGAGAATATGAATGGATCCATTAAAAAAAAAAAAGATATAAACAATGCCTATCCACTTATGAGAAGGAACTATTTGAACTAAAATATCCATTATATGCCAAAGTGGATATAAAAATATCCACTTGTATATCAACAATTTCGCTACAAAGCAGGCTGCTTTGGTTAGAGATGGAATATGGCATAGATTGAGAATTAGTCCATTCATTCATTCATTACACGTGCGGGGCCCACACTGGCGAAGGCACACAGAGGCTGGTCCCCTGTGGACTCCTGGTAATGAAACAAAACCTGGAATTTAACCAAACTCCTGAGAATTCAACAAAACTTCTCTTTAGTTGAGAAGTAGGTAGACTGACATCCCTTTGAGGGAGTGATCCTAGGAATCCGTCCTGAGGAAAGACTCAGGGATGTTAGTAACTCATACACCTAGGATGCACATCACAATCTTATTTATAAAGAGAAGCAGTTTATTTACTTATTTTTTAAATTTTTTAAAGATTTTATTTATTTATTAGAGAGAGAGAGAGGGAACACAAGCAGGGGGAGCTGGAGAGGGAGAAGCAGGCTTCCCACCGAGCAGGGAGCCTCATGTGGCAGGAGAGCCTGCTTCTCCCTCTCTCTCTCTGCAGCTCCCTCTGCTGTTCCCCTGCTTGTGTTCTCTCTCTCTCTGTCAAACAAATAAATAAAATCTTAAAAAATAAATAAATAAAGAGAAGCAATTTAAATGTCCACTATCGGGCAAGCACTAAAGAAATGATACAAGGAAATATTATAGAGGTACTAAAAACCATGTCTTCAACATGGGATAGGAGGAAATTACATATTCAGTGTAACCCTACATCTGTGAATGACAGAAAAAATAAATACTGGAATAAAATACACTGAATGCCTCTGCTGTTATAGCTCAGCAGTATAATTAAAGGTAATTTAATTTTCCATATATTTTAAGCATTTTCCAAAATTTCCATACTGTTAAAGTAAAATTTTAATAATTTAAAAGTACTTTTTAACAAATCTGAGCACCTACTAAGTACAACAGTAAAAAGCCCCTTAGTGAACAAAGAGAGGGAGATCTGCTTATTCTAAAGAAGCATTAGATTCTAATAAGAGAGAGGTTTTTGCGTTTTGTTTTTTTAAGTAAAGTTGAACTGTAAAATGCTAGCAGCTTATTAAGAACAGGGGCTCTTGCTATTTAAGTAAACGGTACTTCCCCCGTGTTTAGGGCCAGTGTTTGGTAGTAGCACTGTGAGACAGTAATAAATATTCAGCAGTTGTGTGTCCCAAAGAGAGAATGATGAAGCCCAGCTTGATATTAATCAGCTACCGCAAAGGCCCCCCGACCGGCTGTACCAGTCATTAAAAAGAGAGATGACATTGAAGACAATTATTCATTAAGCCACCAAGTAACATTTCCAAAAAAGTCAAGAGAAGACACTAAGCACCTGTTTGTGTGGACACAGGGAGGATCTTAGGACAGCTGCAAGATTAAAATGTCATAGAGAACTGGGGCAGATTCAAAATTTGTACATGGAAAAAAATGTACTGATTGGATACAGAACTAAAGAACCTATTTGAATACATACTACAGCATTTCGTCAGTCCTCTAATTAGGCTATTTTTTTCACTAAAAAGAAAAAACAATTCACTGTTACTTAAGTCTATAGAAAATACAGATGTGGATATATATGCAGAACACATGTATAACAACTTATCCCCAAAACACATGATAGATTATTCTGCACAATTTTGTACATTTAGGATCTTGATGATGGATAATTTTCTAAAAAAAAAAAAAATAGTGATTTGCTAAAGTGACCCCCCTAAAGAAAAAGGTCTAAACAGACTGATTTTTCAGAGATAAAATTGAGAAAGCTGTAAAAAGGATAAACCCCTCCAAAACATGAGGTCACAACAGTTTCACAGAATTCCACCAAACCTTTTTAAAGCAAATCGTTCCTATACTATGTAAATTGTTCCAGGGCATACAGAAAGGAAAGAAATTTAATTCCTGTTATGAAAGGAGTATAACATTAACTAATATCAAAACCTAAGAAAGATTACACAAAAAATAAAATTACAGACCCATCTTACTTACATCATTGCAAAAAAAATCCTTAAATAAGATATTAATAGAATCTGGCAGCTCAATAAAAGAACAGCACGTAATAACCAGGATTGTTCAATATGAGGAAACCAATTAATATCATTTATCATCATAATATATTTAAGGAGAAAAACCATAGGATCATTTCCATAGACACTAAAAAGTTATTTTTTTAAACAAAAGTAAAAATAAAGTAGACGAATATAAAAATAATGTTAAAATCCTATTGTAGAAGTTCTTGCCAGAACAATAAGGCAAGAAAAGAAATAAAAGGCATAAAAATTGGAAAGGAAGAAGTAAAATTATTCTTATTTACATATGATATGTAATCCTTTTTGACAAAATACCCAACCATTCTGGTTGGAAATATTCAGTAAAATAGACTGAATGGATACTTCTTTAACATGATTTAAAAAGCAAGTACACATATGCTTACTTATGTGTGTTTGCATGTGTGTGTGTTAGCCCCAAATCCTGCATGATATTTATTATAGAAACACTGGAAGCATTATCTAAAAAATCCTGAACAAGACAAGCATTTCCACAAATACTACAACAATTTATTATATTACTAGAGGCATTAAGAAAAAGAAAGAAAGAAAAAAAAAAAGAAAAAGAAATAAAGAAATCAGTGGTATCAAATCTGGTAAAGACAATATAAAATTATTTGTAGATGATATGACTGTATACCCGGAAAAGCCATGACATTCAATGGAAAACTACTGCAGTTAAGAGGAATTCCAAAGTAACAAGATAGAAAATTCACATATAGTAACTAACAGACCTCCTACACATAAACAACAACCACTTAGATTATATATTGGAAGGGGAAAACCTCATTTACAATGGCAACTAAAGGATAAAACGTCCCAGGCTAAAATTAACAAGAAATGTGTAAAAGCTTTTGAGGAAAAGGATTTTTTTTTTTTAAAGATTTTATTTATTTATTTGACAGAGAGAGACATAGTGAGAGCAGGAACACAAGCAGGGGGAGTGGGAGAGGGAGAAGCAGGCTTCCCGCTGAGCAGGGAGCCCGATGTGGGGCTCGATCCCAGGACCCTGGGATCATGACCTGAGCCGAAGGCAGACGCTTAATGACTGAGCCACCCAGGCACCCGAGGAAAAGGATTTTAAAAAATGCCTGAACGGAAGCTAACATTTCCAAAATGAACATAAACAACTGAGTGTCAGAGATGTACCCATTTCATGAAAACAGAAACGGCCTCCAGGTCTGGGACTAACTGGCAGCTGGATTTCAGAGTTGGCTCTGTCATCTTTTGACATGAATGGATTTATTCCCTACAGACAGAAATCGACAGGTACTATTTTGAGATTAAACCCAGGAGAGAGGGGCACCTGGGTGGCTCAGTCGTTAAGTGTCTGCCTTCGGCTCAGGTCATGATCCCAGGGTCCTGCTGACAAGACAGAGAGAGAGAGAACACAAGCAGGGGAACAGCAGAGGGAGCTGCAGAGAGAGAGGAGGGAGAAGGAGAATCCCCTGCCACGTGGGGCTCCCTGCTGGGTGGGGAGCCTGCTTCTCCCTCTCCAGCTCCCCCTGCTTGTGTTCCCTCTCTCACTGTCTCTCTCTGTCAAATAAATAAATAAATAAATAAATAAATCTTTAAAAATAAATAAATAAACAAAAAGTAAACCCAGGAGAGAAGAATTTCCCTGAGAAAGAAAGATGTCTGAGAAACAGAAGCGACCTCAAGTACCTCTTCATTTGCTTGCTCTGCAGGAAAACACATGCTGAATGGTAATACCTTCATGAGGGTAATAAATATCTGAGTTAGGTACGTAGTTTACCGGAGATAATAAACACTAAGATAAATGCCATACCCATTATAAATTCTCAACTCTTCCTCTCTGAAATAGGGATAAATCCCTCGCAGACATGAGAGATTACAGAGGCAGAACTGGTAAGACTTGGCAGCATCATTGGGGCAGAGTTCTTGAGCCTGGAAGACTAGATCAGAAAGGGGGTCAGGAGTCAGAGATGTTGGCAGGACCACCGTGAATACGTGGGGCAGCTGAAATACACAGAGCAGGACCTCAGGCATGAAGTCAGGCCCAGAGATGGAGATCCAAGAGCCACAGGCACCAAAGACTGAGGTGAGGCCCTGAGGCTTCTGAGGAAGAGAATGCAGCACAAGAAAAGCAAAAGGATCATCTCCTGGGCCTTGGTGAAGGCCTACATTCAAAGAGCATAAAGTAGAAAAATTGCCAAAGAACATAAGAGGAATAAATAGTAAGAGCAGGTACTATGAGCTCACGAAAGATCGGGATCTTGTTTATCTTTATATTCCCAGATTCTAACATACCGCAGGGCCTGAGATATACAGACAAAGCTTTGTTGAATGAATGAGGGGATTATGAAACTCAAAGAGATGGATATAATGTGCACACAACAGTAATAAGTACGACTTTGGAGGCAAACTATCTGGGTTCAAATCCTGTTTCATCACTTGCTATCTGTGGGAAAAATTACCTAACCTCTTCAGGTTTTAGCTTCTTCAGATTTAAGGTGGAACTAGTGGGAGATCACATCTTATGTGGGCATCATAAACTTAAATAATGTAACATACATAAAATGTTACCATATTTCTAATAAAAGCTCTCTATGAATATTATCTTACATCATGTGAATTTCAGTTTTTACATTTTCTAAACTTAAAAATAAAAGTACTGTAGAAGAAGGGGCACCTGGGTGGCTCAGTTGGTTAAGCGTCTGCCTTTGGCTCAGGTCATGATCCCAGGGTCCTGGGATTGAGCCCCGCATTGGGCCCCTGCTTGGTGGGAAGCCTGCTTCTCCCTCTCCCACTCCCCCTGCTTGTGTTCCCTCTCTCGCTGTCTCTCTCTGTCAAATGAATAAATAAAATCTTAAAAAAAAAAAGTACTGTAGAAGAATATAGAAAAATGTTAAAACCCTATTGTAGAAGTTCTTGCCATAATAATAAGGCAAGAAAAAGAAATAAAAGGCATTAAAATTGGAAAGGAAGGCAAGAGAAGAGTCTTTTTAATAAATGGTTTTGGGGAAACTGGACAGCTACATGAAAAAGAATGAAACTAGACCACTTTTTATACCATACACAAATATCAACTTAAAATGGAGTAAAGGCCTAAATGTGAGACCCCCAAACCATAAAACTCCCAAAAGAAAATATAAACAGTAATCTCTTAGATATATTTATGGACCTATCTCCTCAGGCAAGGAAAACAAAAACAAAAAACTATTTGGACTACACCAAAATAAAACGTTTTCACACAGCAAAGGAAACCATCAAAAAACCAAAAAGGCAATCTACCGAATAGGAGAAGATATTTGCAAGTGACACACAAAATATCTATAAAGAAGTTATATAACTCAACACCAAAAAGCAATCTGATTAAAAAATGGTCAGAGAACCTGAAGAGATATTTTTTCCAAAGACATACAGATGGCCAACATACACATGAAAATATCACTAATCACTGGCTAGTACGAAAGAGACAAGAAATAGAAAGTGTTGTCAAGGATATGAAGAAAAGAGAACCTCGGGGCACCTGGGTGGCTCAGTCAGTTAAGCATCTGCTTTTGGCTCAGGTTGCGATCCCAGGGTCCAGGATAGAGCCCCACATTGGGCTTTCTGCTTAGGGAGGTATCTGCTTCTCCCTCTCCCTCTGCCCCTTCCCCTACTCATGCTCTCTCTCTCACTTTCTCTCTGTCTCAAATAAATAAATAAAAATCTTAAAAAAAAAAGTTAAAGGGAACCTCATACACTGTTGGTGGGAATGTGAATTTGTGCAGCCACTTAGGGAAACAGAATGAAGGTTCCTCGAAGAAATAAAAGTAAAACTACCATATGATCCAATAACCCTGCTTCTGGGTATTTACTCAAAGAAAATGAAAGCACTATTTCAAAAAGATTACGTATATCCCTATATTACAGCATTGTTTATAATAACCAAGATATGGAAGCAACCCAGTGTCCATCAATAGATGAATGGATAAAGAAAATGTGGTGTATGGACAATTATTCAGGCATTAAAAACAATGAAATCTTGCCATCTGCAATGGCGTGGGTAGAGCTAGAGAGTATAAGGCAAAACAAGATATGTCAGCCAGAGAAAGACAAATACCATATGATCTCACTCATATGTGGAACTTAAGAAACAAAGAAAGACAAACTAAGAAACAGACTCGTAACTATAGAGAACAAACTGAGGCGGGGAAGTTGGGGGGAAAGGGGGAAATAGGTGACGGGGATTAAAGAATACACTTATTTTGATAAAAAATAAAAAATTAGAAATGGAGTAAAACGATTTCTATTTACATATGACATGATCCTATATATAGAAAATCTTTTAAAAAATCCACACATAAAAAATACTACGGCTAGGGGCGCCTGGGTGGCTCAGTTGTTAAGAATCTGCCTTCGGCTCAGGTCATGATCCCAGGGTCCTGGGATCGAGCCCCGCATTGGGCTCCCTGCTCAGCGGGGAGCCTGCTTCTCCCTCTCCCACTCCCCCTGCTTGTGTTCCCTCTCTCGCTGTGTCTCTCTCTGTCAAATAAATAAATAAAATCTTTAAAAAAAATACTACAGCTAATAAATTCGTAAACTTAGATTAACACACAAAAATCAGTTGTGTTTTAATATACCGTGAAGGAACAATCTGAAAAGGAAATTAAGAAAATAATTCTATACACAATTGTATCCAAGAGAATGAAATATCTAGGAATAAATTTAACCAAGGGGGGGCGCCTGGGTGGCTCAATCGTTAAGCATCTGCCTTCGGCTCAGGTCACGGTCCCAGGGTCCTGGGATCGAGCCCCGCATTGGGCTCCCTGCTTGGCGGGAAGCCTGCTTCTCCCTCTCCCACTCCCCCTGCTTGTGTTCCCTCTCTCGCTGTGTCTCTCTCTGTCAAATAAATAAAATAAATAAACTAAACCAAGGAAGTGAAAAAACACTGACAATTACAAAACATTGGCTGTAAGAAATTAAAGACCCCAATACATGGAAAGACATCCTTTGTTCATGGACTGGAAGACTTATTATGGTTAAGATTCCAATATTCTCTCCAAAGCAGTTTACAGATTCAATGCAGATAAAAATTCTAATGGTTTTTGTTTTCTTTTTTGCAAAAATGGAAAACTTGACCCTCAAATTCATATGGAATCCCAAAGATCCTCAAATAGCCAACACAAAATTTAAAAAGAACAAAGCTGGAAGGCTTACGCTTCCTGATCTCAGAAATCAAAACGGAGTGGTCCTGGTATGAGCCAGACATAGAGACTAACAGAGTAGAAGGAAGAGTCCAGAAATAAACTCATATATCTATAGCCAACTAATTTTCAACAAGTATGCCAAGATCATTCAGTGGGCAAAGAATAGTTTTTCAGTAAGTGGTGTTCACTTCACCTAGGTAAATCATCATGTTGCAGGTCTGAGGCTAATGCATGACTACTTTAGGGTAAGCCAGTTCTGGCAACTCCGTCCTCCAACCCATGATAGGTGCTCACAGGACCAAGTTCTTCTCTCTTGCAGTACTGAACCCAAATGGAATTACTGAGTAATTAATTAATCCTGGCCTCATCCTGACGGCAAAGATCATGTCTATTTTCTTCAAGACCAATTTTCTTGTTGTACAGAGGAGGCAGGGAGGAACTGTTTCAGGAGAAAATAATGCCACAGGGGTTACTTTTCAGTCAACTGCTTTATATCTCAAGCAGTTTATCTTTTTTTTTTTTTTAAGATTTTATTTATTTATTTGAGAGAGAGAGAATGAGAGACAGAGAGCACGAGAGGGAAGCGGGTCAGAGGGAGAAGCAGACTCCCCGCCGAGCAGGGAGCCCGACGCGGGACTCGATCCCGGGACTCCAGGATCATGACCTGAGCCGAAGGCAGTCGCCCAACCAACTGAGCCACCCAGGCACCCTCAAGCAGTTTATCTTAATAAGATAGATGAGATTTGAAGTTGATCACAGAAGAATCAAAAACATACCTATTATCCCAAGTTTAGCAGCAAACATCAGAGATATTCCAATGGGAAAACCAAAAACATAATAACCAATGGCATTCAAGATAGCACCAATCTTTTGTTTTCCTGTACCTCGAAGGACTCCCCCGCAGGTGCCCTAAAGAGAGGAATACCAAAACCAACATTGCAATCATTTACTTGTCATCACATCAAGTTTGGAATACTACATTAATACATCACAAGTCTGGATATGGTCAGTTCTCAAAACGAGAACTACACATTATGTAGGAGATAAAGAAAAATGTTTTGCTTCTAAGGTTACGTTAACAACTTTCATCAGAAAGCCATCAGGTAACATTATTTAAATCTCTATTTAAACATATTTTGTCGGGAGTCTGGGTGGCTCAGTAGGTTAAGCGTCTGACTCTTATCTGGGCTCAGGTCATGATCTCACGGTTGTGGGATCGAGCCCTGCATCAGGCTCCACACTCAGCGCAGAGTCTGCTTAAGTTTCTCTCTCCTTCTCCCGCTGCCCCTCCCTACCAAAATAAATAAATCTTTAAAAAATATTTTGTAAAAGCACATGTTAAAAAATGTAGAGCTTCACTGATGGAAATCTCAGCAGAAACCAGTCTGATACCATGGCTGAAAAATATTAATGCAATCATGGGCTGCAAAAATGCCCAGAACCAGGGTGGCAACGATCGTCTTGTTTTCTTCCACATTATTCTTAACACAGCCAGTGTTCAACTGGGTACCACATCTTCAGAGTGACGTTAACAAACAGAAGAAATTCCTTGGGGGAAAAAGCAAGATGGCAAATGTACCTAGAAATGATCTCATGAGGGCTAATTGCTGAAATTGGGAATGATGCCTCAAGGCATCATTCCAGGGTACAGAAGAAGGGTCTTCAAATACCTACAAATCTAGAGAAAATCAGCCTAGGCAAAGACTTTTTAGTGGTCAGAGTTAACTCAAAGGTGGCCTGGCCTGCCTTGGACGATACAGCAGAGATCACCTGATCACTTGGTTAGGATGTCACACAGGGCATTCAGGCCCCAGATAAAGAAGTGGAGGTTGGATGACTATGGTTTCTTCCCCCTTGAGATGCTATACTCTACCGTGACCCATCTTTTCCACAAATGGCTAAGAATGCCTAAAGCAAGAGCTCTCTCTTCTCAAAGATGAAATCACAGCCGTTTAATTCAAAAGTTAGAAACACAAATTTTGCCATGTATATTAGACCAAAATCACTCCAAATACTCACCGCAAGTGCATCAAATAGATGAAAGGGAGCAAAAATAGGCATCACTTGGCTCACAAGGTAAATGATATCTCTGTTGGAGGAAAAGAAAGTAGTCAGTGACTCAAAAATCACATATAAATGGAGTACAAATTAACTACGGATCTGACAAACCTAAGAAATTGATCAGGTAATTCGGTGAAAACACTACTTTTCTATTTGACAAAACAAGTACACAATAAAGCCTCACTAATTTAAGTTCTGTTAGTTAGAATTTGGGGTAAAAGGGACACGGTCTAGGCTGCCGCTATGGAGGATAACTGCTGAAGTTTTGTTTATGAGTATAAAAACGTGCAGATTGGAAAAAAAGCTTTCAGCCTGTGTATGGTAATCTTCCTCTGTGAATGGGAGTCTTCCTCAAAACTGGAGTTGAAAGTCAGTGTTCATACAGGAAACATTCATGGATCCTCTGAACTCTGATTATGGTGGGAGATCTGCCTGGGGAGGGACTACAGCGGAGGTCCTGGGATTTTGGAGAGAGACACAGCAGAGCTGGAGGTGACTAAGGTCCTGCATGACGGAGCCAATGTGGTTGCGATACATGAGACAGGCTATCATATGCTCCCTGAAGGAATTTGTCCTGCTTCCCTACCATTCACCCTCAATGGGAAGACTGCTGGTCGACAGGAACCACCACTACAGCCTGGGGTCAGCCCTCTCACCAGGAGTCACCTCTTTGGCATAGACATAGGACTGTAAAGTGACCTACTCTGTATACTCTTCTCTACTAATCAAAACGACAACATGGTCTTTCATTCAAACGGACATTAACCCAGTGTTCGCCAGCCACTGAAGAAAATCCACAGCACAAAAAAAGGAAAGACCAAAATGAGGGTGCAGAATAGTTGACACAAAGAGCTGACATTTCTCTAAGCAAACACAGAACGCAAGGAAAAAGAAGCAGATGGAAAAAAAATGAAATGAAAAAGATGAACACTAAAATAAAATGTTCCATTTAAGGACCAGATAAGGAAATAGACTTGGCAAAACCCTAAATTTCAATTTGAAAGATAAAGCTGAGGAAATATGCCAAAACACAGAGACAGAAAATGAGAGAAAAGAGACAATTCGGATTAATCCTTAAGTTCTACCAATTATATGTTACCCAGAACTAAAGAAAAATCCAGTGCTTCAGACTGAAAGTCTATAAAATGCCACACTGAATAAAAGAAAAAGATTCACCTAAACCTAAGCACACCCAAGGACAAAAAGAATATCTGAAAGAGTTCCAGAAAAAAAATTTTTCCTTCAAAAGAGTAAGAGTCAGATTAGTATGAAAAGTCTATATCTGGTGGACTAGGAAGCTCCAAGAATCAATCCTTTTACCAAAACAATTCTTGAACTGGCAGGAAATGTCAAAATCAACCATTTTCAGAACTCTGGAGTCTAGCTGAAAACTTGCAGCAAGAACACTTGATGAAGGAAGAGGCTAATTAAGTATCCATGAATTTCGGTGTTTTGCATAGTAGCTACCATTTCCCATCCTCTGGTCCCATGACAGGCAGCTGTAGGGATGGCTGCCTGCATTCCTGATGTGGCTTATTGGTGGCATGTTGGACAATAAGGATCATTTCCTCCAAAAATCAGAATTGTGTGTTTTGCTCTCCTTGGCAGTTCACTAAGGGATTGGCATAGAGGCTGCCCACTGTCTCAACCCCTTTGGACTGAAGTGCCTTCCATGTAGTGCCTGTCAAATAATTTAGAGACAGAACTTCTAAAAGATATTTCTTTTGGGGGCACCTGGGTGGCTCAGTCGGTTAAGTGCCAGCCTTCGGCTCAGGTCATGATCCCAGGGTCCTGGGATTGAGCCCCACATCGGGCTCCCTGCTCGGGGCAAAGCCTGCTTCTCCCTCTCCCTCTGCCTGTTGCTTGTGTTCCCTCTCTCGCTGTCTCTGTCAGATAAATAAATAAAATCTTTAAATAAAATAAAATAAAAATAAAATAAAAAATATTTCTTTTCTTATTGGATCAAGACATTTAAGGAAATCTGTCAGACCACCGGCTGACTGAGGAGATAGGAGACACCATGCATGACAGGGAAAACACTCTTTGTAAAAAGTAGTTTGGAAAAACACTAAACAAATGGACAAATGCAGAACAGCAATGAGAACAAGTAAGAACAGCAATTCCCAAGGAAAGAGAACCTGATTTCCAGAGTTATCTCATTACAATATTCAAAATGTAATTCCAACAGAAAAAATCACAAACATTCAAAGAGGAAAGTATGGCCAGGTAAAAGATATATTGTCAGAAACTGACAAATATTGTCAGAATCAATTTTTTCAGAACTCTGAAAATTAACCAAAGGCTTGCAGTGACCTGGGGAGTGTTTCTTCAAGAAAAGTTGATGCAGGGGGAGGAGCAAGATGGTGGAGGAGTAGGAGACCTGGATTTCGTCTGGTCTCAGGAATTCAGCTGAATAGGGATCAAACCATTCTGAACA